TTCAGGCACCTACTTTGGCCCATTCTGAGACTGTCTCAAAAGGAATCAACCCTGTACGTTCAGCCGTGCCGGTTCTAATTGATTTCGTAATCCATGTACTATTGAAATTTGAATAAGCGCAGGTGCGTGTTACCACTCGTGACTGAGGGATCTCAGGGCCGTCAGTCCACTTCAGGCACCTACTTTGGCCCATTCTGAGACTGTCTGAAAAGGAATCAACCCTGTACGTTCAGCCGTGTCGATTCTAATTGATTTCGTAATCCATGTACTATTGAAATGTGAATAAGACCAGGTGTGTGTTACTGCTCGTGCCCAAGGGATCTCAGGGCTGTCAAAACTGATTTAAGGGCTTTTCACAGGCATTCTGAGACTGTCTCAAAAGGAATCAACCCTGTACGTTCAGTAGTGTCGATTCTAATTGATTTCGTAATCCATGTACTATTGAAATGTGAATAAGACCAGGTGTGTGTTACTGCTCGTGCCCAAGGGATCTCAGGGCTGTCAAAACTGATTTAAGGGCTTTTCACAGGCATTCTGAGACTGTCTCAAAAGGAATCAACCCTGTACGTTCAGCCGTGCCGGTTCTAATTGATTTCGTAATCCATGTACTATTGAAATTTGAATAAGCGCTGGTACGTGTTACCACTCGTGACTGACGGATCTCAGGGCTGTCACTCCACTTCAGCACCTACTTTGGCCCAATCTGAGACTGTCTCAAAAGGAATCAACCCTGTACGTTCAGCCGTGCCGGTTCTAATTGATTTCGTAATCCATGTACTATTGAAATTTGAATAAGACCAGGTACGTGTTACCACTCGTGACTGAGGGATCTCAGCACTGTCACTCCACTTCAGGCACCTACTTTGGCCCATTTTGAGACTGTCTCAAAAGGAATCAACCCTGTACGTTCAGCCGTGCCGATTCTAATTGATTTCGTAATCCATGTACTATTGAAATTTGAATAAGCCCAGGTGCGTGTTACCACTCGTGACTGAGGGATCTCAGCGCTGTCAGTCCACTTCAGGCACCTACTTTGGCCCATTCTGAGACTGTCTCAACAGGAATGAACCCTGTACGTTCAGCCGTGTCGATTCTAATTGATTTCGTAATCCATGTACTATTGCAATTTGAATAAGCCCAGGTGCGTGTTACCACTTGTGACTGAGGGAACTCAGGGCTGTCAGTCCACTTCAGGCACCTACTTTGGCCCAATCTGAGACTGTCTCAAAAGGAATCAACCCTGTACGTTCAGCCGTGTCGATTCTAATTGATTTCGTAATCCATGTACTATTGAAATTTGAATAAGCGCAGGTACGTGTTACCACTCGTGACTGAGGAAACTCAGGGCTGTCAGTCCACTTCAGGCACCTACTTTGGCCCAATCTGAGACTGTCTCAAAAGGAATTAACCCTGTACGTTCAGCCGTGCCGGTTCTAATTGATTTCGCAATCCATGTACTATTGAAATTTGAATAAGCCCAGGTACGTGTTACCACTCGTGACTGAGGATCTCAGGGATGTCAGAACTGATTAAGGGCTTCTCAGAGCATTCTGAGACTGTCTCAAAGGAATCAACCCTGTACGTTCAGCCGTGCCGATTCTAATTGATTTCGTAATCCATGTACTATTGAAATTTGAATAAGCCCAGGTGCGTGTTACCACTCGTGACTGAGGAAACTCAGGGCTGTCAGTCCACTTCAGGCACTACTTTGGCCCATTCTGAGACTGTCTCCAAAAGGAATCAACCCTGTACGTTCAGCCGTGTCGATTCTAATTGATTTCGTAATCCATGTACTATTGAAATTTGAATAAGCCCAGGTGCGTGTTACCACTCGTGATTGAGGGAACTCAGGGCTGTCAAAACTGATTTAAGGGCTTTTCACAGGCATTCTGAGACTGTCTCAAAAGGAATCAACCCTGTACGTTCAGTCGTGTTGATTCTAATTGATTTCGTAATCCATGTACTATTGTAATTTGAAAAAGACCAGGTGTGTGTTACTGCTCGTGCCCGACGGATTTCAGGGATGTCAGAACTGATTTAAGGGCTTTTCACAGGCATTCTGAGACTGTCTCAAAAGGAATCAACCCTGTACGTTCAGCCGTGCCGGTTCTAATTGATTTCGTAATCCATGTACTATTGAAGTTTGAATAAGCCCAGGTACGTGTTACCACTCGTGACTGAGGGATCTCAGCACTGTCACTCCACTTCAGGCACCTACTTTGGCCCATTTTGAGACTGTCTCAAAAGGAATCAACCCTGTACGTTCAGCCGTGCCGATTCTAATTGATTTCGTAATCCATGTACTATTGAAATTTGAAGAAGACCAGGTACGTGTTACCACTCGTGACTGAGGGATCTCAGGGCTGTCAGAACTGATTTAAGGGCTTTTCATAGGCATTCTGAGACTGTCTCAAAAGGAATCAACCCTGTACGTTCAGCCGTGCCGGTTCTAATTGATTTCGTAATCCATGTACTATTGAAATTTGAATAAGACCAGGTGTGTGTTACTGCTCGTGACTGAGGGATCTCAGGGCTGTCAGTCCACTTCAGGCACCTACTTTGGCCCATTCTGAGACTGTCTCAAAAGGAATCAACCCTGTACGTTCAGCCGTGTCGATTCTAATTGATTTCGTAATCCATGCACTATTGAAAATTGAATAAGCGCAGGTACGTGTTACCACTCGTGACTGAGGGATCTCAGGGCTGTCAGTCCACTTCAGGCACGTACTTTGGCCCAATCTGAGACTGTCTCAAAAGGAATGAACCCTGTACATTCAACCCTGTCGATTCTAATTGATTTCGTAATCCATGTACGATTGAAATTTGAATAAGCCCAGGTGCGTGTTACTCCTCGTGACTGAGGGATCTCAGGGTTGTCAGTCCACTTCAGGCACCTACTTTGGCCCATTCTGAGACTGTCTCAAAAGGAATCAACTCTGTACGTTCAGCCGTGTTGATTCTATTTGATTTCAAAATCCATGCACTATTGAAAATTGAATAAGCGCAGGTACGTGTTACCACTCGTGACTGAGGGATCTCAGGGCTGTCAGTCCACTTCAGGCACCTACTTTGGCCCAATCTGCGACTGTCTCAAAAGGAATCAACCCTGTACGTTCAGCCGTGTCGATTCTAATTGATTTCGTAATCCATGTACTATTGAAATTTGAATAAGACCAGGTGTGTGTTACTGCTTGTGACTGAGGGAACTCAGGGCTGTCAGTCCACTTCAGGCACCTACTTTGGCCCAATCTGTGACTGTCTCAAAAGGAATCAACCCTGTACGTTCAGCCGTGTCGATTCTAATTGATTTCATAATCCATGTACTATTGAAAATTGAATAAGCGCAGGTACGTGTTACCACTCGTGACTGAGGGATCTCAGGCTGTCAGAACTCATTTAATGGCTTTTTAGAGGCATTCTGAGACTGTCTCACAATGAATCAACCCTGTACGTTCAGCCGTGTCGATTCTAATTGATTTCGTGATCCATGTACTATTGAAATTTGAATAAGACCAGGTGTGTGTTACTGCTTGTGACTGAGGGAACTCAGGGCTGTCAGTCCACTTCAGGCACCTACTTTGGCCCAATCTGAGACTGTCTCAAAAGGAATCAACCCTGTATGTTCAGCCGTGCCGATTCTAATTGATTTCGTAATCCATGCACTATTGAAATTTGAATAAGCGCAGGTATTTGTTACCACTCGTGACTGAGGGATCTCAGGACTGTCAGGCCACTTCAGGCAGCTACTTTGGCCCATTCTGAGACTGTCTCAAAAGGAATCAACCCTGTACGTTCAGCCGTGTCGATTCTAATTGATTTCATAAACCATGTACTATTGAAGTTTGAATAGGCCCAGGTACGTGTTACCACTCGTGACTGAGGGATCTCAGCGCTGTCAGTCCACTTCAGGCACCTACTTTGGCCCATTTTGAGACTGTCTCAAAAGGAATCAACCCTGTACGTTCAGCCGTGCCGATTCTAATTGATTTCGTAATCCATGTACTATTGAAATTTGAATAAGCCCAGGTACGTGTTACCACTCGTGACTGAGGGATCTCAGCACTGTCACTCCACTTCAGGCACCTACTTTGGCCCATTTTGAGACTGTCTCAAAAGGAATCAACCCTGTACGTTCAGCCGTGCCGATTCTAATTGATTTCGTAATCCATGTACTATTGAAATTTGAATAAGCCCAGGTATGTGTTACCACTCGTGACTGAGGGATTTCCGGGCTGTCAGTCCACTTCAGACACCTACTTTGGGCCATTTTGAGACTGTCTCAAAAGGAATCAACCCTGTACGTTCAGCCGTGTTGATTCTAATTGATTTCGTAATCCATGTACTATTGTAATTTGAAAAAGACCAGGTGTGTGTTACTGCTCGTGCCCGACGGATTTCAGGGATGTCAGAACTGATTTAAGGGCTTTTCACAGGCATTCTGAGACTGTCTCAAAAGGAATCAACCCTGTACGTTCAGCCGTGCCGGTTCTAATTGATTTCGTAATCCATGTACTATTGAAGTTTGAATAAGCCCAGGTACGTGTTACCACTCGTGACTGAGGGATCTCAGCACTGTCACTCCACTTCAGGCACCTACTTTGGCCCATTTTGAGACTGTCTCAAAAGGAATCAACCCTGTACGTTCAGCCGTGCCGATTCTAATTGATTTCGTAATCCATGTACTATTGAAATTTGAATAAGACCAGGTACGTGTTACCACTCGTGACTGAGGGATCTCAGGGCTGTCAGAACTGATTTAAGGGCTTTTCATAGGCATTCTGAGACTGTCTCAAAAGGAATCAACCCTGTACGTTCAGCCGTGTCGATTCTAATTGATTTCAAAATCCATGTACTATTGAAATTTGAATAAGACCAGGTGTGTGTTACCACTCGTGACTGCGGGATCTCAGGGCTGTCAGTCCACTTCAGGCCCCTACTTTGGCTCATTCTGAGACTGTCTCAAAAGGAATCAACCCCGTACGTTCAGCCGTGTCGATTCTAATTGATTTCGTAATCCATGTACTCTTGAAATTTGAATAAGACCAGGTGTGTGTTACTGCTCGTGTCCGAGGGATCTCGGGGCTGTCAGTCCACTTCAGGCACCTACTTTGGCCCATTCTGAGACTGTCTCAAAAGGAATCAACCCTGTACGTTCCGCCGTGTCGATTCTAATTGATTTCGTAATCCATGTACTATTGAAATTTGAATAATACCAGGTGTGTGTTACTGCTCGTGCCCGAGGGATCTCAGGGATGTCAGAACTGATTTAAGGCCTTTTCAGAGGCATTATGAGACTGTCTCAACAGGAATCAACCCTGTATGTTCAGCCGTGTCGATTCTAATTGATTTCGTAATCCATGTACTATTGAAATGTGAATAAGTGCAGGTACATGTTACCACTCGTGATTGAGGGATCTCAGGGCTGTCACTCCACTTCAGGCACCTACTTTGGCCCATTCTGAGACTGTCTCAAAAGGAATCAACCCTGTATGTTCAGCCGTGTCGATTCTAATTGATCTCGTAATCCATGTACTATTGTAATTTGAATAAGACCAGGTGTGTGTTACTGCTCGTGCCCAAGGGATCTCAGGGCTGTCAGAACTGATTTAAGGGCTTTTCACAGGCATTCTGAGACTGTCTCAAAAGGAATCAACCCTGTACGTTCAGCCGTGTCGATTCTAATTGATTTCGTAATCCATGTACTATTGAAATTTGAATAAGACCAGGTGTGTGTTACTGCTCGTGCCCAAGGGATCTCAGGGCTGTCAGAACTGGTTTAAGGGCTTTTCACAGGCATTCTGAGACTGTCTCAAAAGGAATCAACCCTGTACGTTCAGCCGTGTCGATTCTAATTGATTTCGTAATCCATGTACTATTGAAATTTGAATAAGCCCAGGTGCGTGTTACCACTCGTGACTGAGGGAACTCAGGGCTGTCAGTCCACTTCAGGCACCTACTTTGGCCCATTCTGAGACTGTCCCAAAAGGAATGAACCCTGTACGTTCAGCCGTGTCGATTCTAATTGGTTTCGAAATCCATGTACT